GAGAGAGAGAGAGAGAGAGAGAGAGAGAGAGAGAGAGAGAGAGAGAAGGGGGCAATAAACACGACGAATCTTTGACAATCTCCATCATCGTGGTTTAACTTACACCAGCCAGTTAGATACGTTCTCAGATATCCACAAGTTAAATATCCACGTAAGATAAAACAGACACTGAAGGTTGTCTATGGCGTAATTCCCTCCCTCCCGTCCCGATGGTGGTAGTGTTGGTAGTAGTAGTGATGGTGGTAGTGGTGGTGGTGGCAGGCCCGGGAGAGTTGTTGCTCTTACTTTACGACAGGTCCAAGTGTCCCGTTGTGGCAGATGTGACGGCTTTATTTCGCTAAGTTTCCACTCTGGTCATAAATCATATCTCTTATCACCGGGATTCGAGTTCAAGGGGGTAGGAGTCGTATTTAGGGGTTCAGGGGTTCAAGGGGTCGTATTTAGGGATTCGTGGGTTCGTATTAGGGGTTCAGGGGTTCGTTTTAGGGGTTCAAGGGTCTCTTTTGGGTTTTTTATTTGTTTTGTTGGTTTGGGGATGTTTTAGGGATTTGGGGGTTTGTTTTGGGGGATCAGGGGTTGTTTTGTGGGTTCTGGTGTTATAATAGGGGTTCAGGGGGTTGTTTTAGAGGTTTTGGGGTCGTATTCGGGGTTCAGGGTTCGTGTTCGGGGTTCGGGGGTCGTATTAGGAGTATCGGGATCGTATTAGGGATTCAGTGGTAGTAACAGGGTTTTTGGTGTTGTTCCCGCGCAACTGTATGTGATGTTCCCGCGCAAACTCTATCGTTTCCCGGGATAAATACATACGATGTTCGCGCGTAAATACAGCTCTTGCCAAGACAAACACAGTTGTTGCCCACTCAAACAGGGAACGGGGAGCGGCATCAAATCTCGTCAGACAGTGATGGAAGAACAACAAAGGTGGGTTTTGATCAGTTGCCCTTTCCCGCGTTAGTACACCTCTTTCCCGCGCAATTATAGACAGTGTTCCCTCGTTAATACACCTCTTTCCCGCGCAATTATAGACAATGTTCCCGCGTTAATACACCTCTTTCCCGCGCAATTATAGACAATGTTCCCGCGTTAATATATACACAATGCTCCTGTGTGAATATACTGTATACAATGCTCCAGCAAATATACAACCAATGCTCCCGCTCAAATATACATAATGCTCCCCCGCAAATATAATGCTCCCTCGCAAATATAATGCTCCCTCGAAACTACATACAATGCTCCCGCGACAGAAGCACAATACTAAGACTGTTGTGAGCAGAGGATCATCATCTAGACTCAGTGTGTGATCTTGAGGTATACAGTGAGAGCATTATCCTCTTATCTATCTATCTTTTTATCTCTCTATCTATCTGGCTTTCTTTTTATCTATCTATCTATGTATGTATCTAACAGAACTTTACACACACACACACACACATTTTCTCTAAATATAATCAACTCAGATATAAACACATAAATTTAAAAGGCTTAAGTAAACAACGCATTACGTCAAATCCCTAATAATTTTAACAGACTGCCAGCGTTAAAAAAGCAAAAAAAGGCACACGACAGCAGAAATATTACAGTCAGAACATATTATAGCCCTCCCTCCTTCCCCTCCTCCTTCCCCTCCTCCTTCCCCTCTCCCCCTTCCCTCACCCCCTCCCCCCCTCTCACTGTTATATGTATGGCGTCTATTACTTGTTAATGTTACCCGCGTTGAGGATAAATTGGACGAGTATTAGTAAAAATATTTATGACCCCATATTCGTTTTCAATTAACATGGGTATTGCAATTAGTTGGTATGTGATAAAGAGGAGGAGGGTTGAGGAGGGAGGTGAGGGGTTGAGGGAGAGTAGGGTGAGGGGTTGAGGAGGAGGGAGTAGGGTGAGGTTGAGGAGGTAGATGAGGTTGAGGAGGGGAGGTAGGGGTGAGGTTGAGGTAGGGTGGGGGTTGAGGTCAGGGGGTGGTGGGGGTTGAGGAGGTAGGGTGGGGGGTTGAGGGTGGGGTGAGGGGAAGGAGGAGGTGTGGGGGGGGGGGAGAGAATGGGTTGAGGAATGGGGGGTGGGGGGAAGGACAGGTGAAGGAGGATGGGGGGAAGGGGAGGATCAATTAAATTCCCAGGTTCGGGTTTGGGTTCGGCTATATATATATTCGGTTTGTTTGATACAGTCTTGGGTTCGGGATCTGTTATCATGTTTATTGTTGCATAAAGGTCGCGATAAATGTCACCTACTCACCCCCAAGACACCCCCAAAACACCCCCAACCCCCCAAGCACCACCCCAAGACCCCCCTCCCCCACACACACACATCGAAGCAAACCTTAAATGGAGTGTCTGTCTGTCTGTCTGTCTGTCTGTCTGTCCCAACATGCCAAGAAGTCACTGAACTTGGGGCAAGGGAGGGTGGAGAAGGGTGGGGATAGAGGGGGTGTGGGGAAGTTATTTGGGTGAACTAGCGACATTATTTACTTCAGTTTACCCTACGTCACAGCCGATGACGTCACAGTCGCTGGTGATGACGTCATAGCCATTGGTGATGATGTCACAGCTGTTGGTGATGACTTCACAGCATATTTAGAACAACTTACAACTTTTTTATTCAACGTATGAACAGAAAAGTAATAAAAAAAGTAATAAGATCAATAAATTTTGGGGGAGTATCTTAGAAAAACAAACAAAAAAATAAATATAAGGAAAGTGAAACGTCGGCGTAGGAATTTGGCGGGAAATGAGGAAGCGTTCTTGTAGCCGGATTCTTTGACCCCGGAATGTCAACAAAACACAGCTGACGCGACGTAATTGAAATTCTACCGAAAACACCGCCACGATAGTCAATGATTTCTCCAACTTGTATTGATATTAAATAGTGTTAAGGGGTTTGTGTGGCCCTATTAGATGAAAAACAATAGACGAAGGAAATAAATGAGATGAAACAATAGACGAACGAGATTAATGATGAAACAATAGACGAAATAAATTAATGACATGAAACAATAGACGAATGAAATTAATAATGGATGAAACTATAGACGAAATAAATTAATGACATGAAACAATAGACGAATGAAATCAATCATTATTCATTTTCTTCACTTCATTAAAATCAAGTCAGTAAAAGCTCAAGTAAGTTTTTTTTACGAATAAATTAATCCACGTAATTAAAAAAAATATATATTAATTAACTTTAACAAATACGTAATCGTTTTCTTGTTATTATTTTGGCCAAGTTTAATAATATTTATATATCAAACCAACTTACGTCACTACACAAGAAAAGTAAATAGGAAAATTATTATAAGTTTTCCTCGTCTTGGTGTTGTAACCGACCAGTGACTTGGGTGATGTCATGCTACGTGTTATGGCATTTATGACCTCTGACTTTATGGGTGATAATACGGTGTTAGAGAAGATCCGGGCTTATTCCGTGTGTTATGGGCCTTATGACCTCTGACCTTAAGGGTGAGAGTGACCTGAGGTGGAAGGTCAAGGCTAAGAGAACCTATATTGGATGGTTAAGTTTTTCATTTGTATGGAATTTTTTATATAGGTTTATTGTAGAAGATGTTAAGGAGAGAGGAAGGAGGGAGGGGAAGGAAAGAAGGAGTGGGAGAGAAAGATAGGTGGAGAGGGGGTGGATATATATTCACATAGGGGACGCCATGGTTCCCCCTCCCTCTCCCCTCTTCCCCACTCCTTTACCTACCCCCCCCCCCTCCCTCTCCTACCCCAACTCCCTCTGGGGATGAATAATACATACGGGTTTGTAAGAGCCAAAGTCACTACTGCTGGCCAACCCGGATTTATGATTTTTTTCCCCTGTGATTCTTTTAGCTGTGGGAGAAAGCTATCGTAGGGTATCTTAGCTGTGGGGGAAGCTATATTGAGGTGTCTTAGCTGTGGGGGAAAGATATCGTGGGGTATATTAGCTGTGTGGGAAAGCTATCGTGGTGTCTTAGCTGTGGGGGAAGCTATCGTGGGATGTCGCTATCGTGGGGTGTCTTAGCTGTGGGGGAAAGCTATGTTGGGATGTCTTAGCTGTGTGGAGGGCTATCGTGAGATGACTTAGCTGTGGGGGAAGCTTTCGTGAGGTGTCTTATCTGTGGGGGGAAGCTATCGTGGGGTGTCTTAGCTGTGTGGAAAAACTATCGCGAGGATGCCTTAGCTGTAGACGGGAGAAGCTATCATAACCTTGCTTTAGGAAGTTTAGGTGATGAGGAAAGCTAGAATTTGACCCTCATCTACCAAAGCTAAGACCTCTCACCTACCAAAGCTAAGACCCTTCACCTACCAAAGCTAAGACCTGGACTAGATAGCTGTGTTGGGACATCAAAGGTAAACCACAGTGTATAGAGGAGAGGTCTTTTAATCAGCCAGCCTTCTACCTTTTCCCCCAGGCATAATTAAAGGTAACCTGGAATGGGAATGGGAACGGTGGTGGGAATGGGATTGGGAACGATGTGGGAATGGATTGGTAGCGATGTGGGAATGGATTGGGAGCGATGTGGGAATGGATTGGGAACGGTGGTGGGAATGGGAAAGAGAACGGTGGTGGGAATGGGATTGGGAACAGGAATGAGAATATAATTGGGAGTAGGAATAGGATTATAAATAAACAGGAATGGGAATGTAATTAAAAGTAGGAATGAGAACTGGAATGGAACAGTAATAAAGAACTTGGTATTGAAGTGGGAACGGAAATTAAATTGAGTTGGAATCGAATCGGGAATGGGATTAAACCAATATAAACAAGATTGGGAATGATAAGAAAATTCCCTAGTTTTTTTCCCCCCATACACGATATACTCTCACATTTTTTCCCTAGCCATACTAATAGTCTTTTGAAAATTCCCTAGTTTTTTCCCCCCATACACGATATACTCTCACATTTTTTCCCTAGCCATACTAATAGTCTTTTGAAAATTCCCTAGTTTTTTCCCCCCATACACGATATACTCTCACATTTTTTCCCTAGCCATACTAATAGTCTTTTTTCCCCGCCAGGTTGTTCAAGTTGCGGCTCCGTAGAGATGCTTCCGTGTTCGCTGACGGCGTTGTGTTCGAATCCACGGATGGTCCTCTTGACTTTGACCTCGGCAAGGTCTACTCCGGGAGTCTTGAAGGTGAGATGGGTGTTTGTTTGTTTGTTTGTTTGTTTTGTGGGGGTGGTGTAGTAGTAGTAGTAGGAGTAGTAGTAGTAGTTGTAGTAGTAGCATTGATGTTTGTGTGTGCGTGTGTGTGTGTGTTTATATGTGCGTGTGTGTGTGCGTATGTATACTGTGTATGCATGTGTGTATTAAAACCAAAATTTCCACCTTTGTTGCAATATACATGAAAAAGTAATTGTTTTTTATGCCTAAATAAATTAATAAAGGCCAGACTTATTTAACCACCAACTATACAGCAGTAAATTGGCCTGTTAGTACTGGCTCCCCCCATCTACCTGGGGGAGGACTCGTGTAATAAACTGAACTGGATTTAAATGTTTCGTAACTTTGGACAGGTTGAGTGTGTGAGGGTGACTAGTGTGTGAGGGTGTGAGGGTGACTAGTGTGTGAGGGTGACTAGTGTGTGGGGTGACTAGTGTGAGGGTGTGAGGGTGTGAGGGTGACTAGTGTGTGAGGGTGACTAGTGTGTGGGGTGGGTAGGTGAGAGGAGAGGAGAGAGAGAGGAGGAGGTGTTAATGTTGTGTTGTGTTGCAGATGACGAGCTAGCAGAGGTGGAGGGCGTGGTGACGGGGAGGGTTGTTTGACGGCCACGTGGCCACGCCCCACGAGCTGTACTACCTGGAGCCCGCCAACAGGTACCTGGAGAAGGCCGAGTTCCACTCCGTCATGTACAAGGCGTCGGACGTGGTCCACCCGTCGCCCTCCCGCTGTGCCTCGCAGCAACTGCACCTCCGGGGCCGCGTCCACGCCCTGGGGGCGCCCTCCCACGCCCCCACGCCCACAATTTTGAGTCGACGGAGGTACCGGTGGGGCCCGAGAGACTGCCTGTACAGCCCCCCGGGACCTCCGAGCCTTGGTCTCATTCTTCCATTTCGTCCAGTGCGGGGCCGGCCAGGGGGGGCGGGGCTGCTGCCTCCCCAAATCCGCGCAGTGTCAACCCCAAATATAAGGCTGTGACTTATACTGTATATGGCGGCGGTGACGGCAGCGGAGGCGTGGTGAGTGACGCCACGCCCACACAACCTACCCTTCGTAGTCAACACCCAACCCCAAAGAAACTTATTTTTGATAACAAGTCGACGTCTTTTGTAAACCAGTTCAAAGAGCCCGAGGATCCTGCCGGTGACCGCGCCGCCACCTCCGCCCCGCACCACAACAACACTTCGTCCACCACCACCTACCACCAGGCCTCCGCCCCTCACCTCCACCACAACCATCTCGACTTCGAGTTGGTGTACGAGGCCACGGGGGGAGCGCCCTCACGCCTCCCCCGACCCCCTGGAACTACACCAGGCGCAGGTCAGAGCTTCCACTGTACACACAACCTTGGCCCACCAGACCACCCAGGAGGAAAAGGTAACACTTGTTGATATATTGCCACCACACACACACACACACACACACACACACACACACACACACACACACACACACACACACACACACACACACCGTCCTAAAACAAACCTGGATTAACTCTTCGTAACAATCATGATGACAACAATACGCACATTATAAACAAACATGACGTCACTACCATCCTCTCACCAACCAGACGTCACCACCACATTATAAACAAACTGACGTCACTACCATCCTCTTACCAACCATGACGTCACCACCACATTATAAACAAACGCGTCACTAAACCATCCTCTTACCAACCATGACGTCACCAACACATTATAAACAAACATGACGTCACTACCATCCTCTCACCACATGACGTCACCAACACATTATAAACAAACGTGACGTCACTACCATCCTCTTACCAACCATGACGTCACCACCACATTATAAACAAACATGACGTCACTAAAACCATCCTCTTACCAACCATGACGTCACCAACACATTATAAACAAACATGACGTCACTACCATCCTCTCACCAACCATGACGTCACCAACACATTATAAACAAACGCGGCGTCACTACCATCCTCTCACCAACCATGACGTCACCAACACATTATAAACAAACATGACGTCACTACCATCCTCTTACCAACCGCGGCGTCACCAACACGTATAAACAAACGTGACGTCTACCATCCTCTCACCAACCATGACGTCACCACCACATTATAAACAAACATGACGTCACTACCATCCTCTCACCAACCATGAGCGTCACCAACACATTATAAACAAACGTGACGTCACTACCATCCTCTTACCAACCATGACGTCACCACCACATTATAAACAAACGTGGCGTCACTAAAACCATCCTCTTACCAACCATGACGTCACAACACATTATAAACAAACATGACGTCACTACCATCCTCTCACCAACCATGACGTCACCAACACGTTATAAACAAACATGACGTCACTACCATCCTCTCACCAACCATGACGTCACCAACACATTATAAACAAACATGACGTCACTACCATCCTCTTACCAACCATGACGTCACCAACACATATAAACAAACGTGACGTCACTACCATCCTCTTACCAACCATGACGTCCTACCACATTATAAACAAACGTGACGTCACTACCATCCTCTTACCAACCATGACGTCACCACCACGATTATAAACAAACGTGACGTCACTACCATCCTCACACCAACCATGACGTCACCAACACATTATAAACAAACGCGGCGTCACTACCATCCTCTTACCAACCATGACGTCACCACCACATTTTAAACAAACATGACGTCACTACCATCCTCTTACCAACCATGACGTCACCAACACACTATAAACAAACATGACGTCACTACCATCCTCTCACCAACCATGACGTCACCAACACTATAAACAAACATGACGTCACTAAAACCATCCCCGTGCCCACAGGTCAAGCGTGGACCCGCAGAAGACGACGTGTATGCTGTACCTGCAGGCGGACCACCTCTTCTACGAGAAGATCGGGTCGGAAGAGGCGTGTATTGAGACGATCACTAGACACGTCCAGAGAGTCAACAATATATACAGGGTGACGGGTGAGTGTCTGTCTGTCTGTCTGTCTGTTTGTCTCTGTCTGTCTGTTTGTGTGTATATGTCTGTCTGTCTGTCTGTCTGTCTCTTGCCCCTAATACCCCTCAACCCCTTTCGCTTTACTGTAAACAACAAACATAACCTACACACCTGTAATCAAAACCTTCACACCTGTAATCAAAGCCTACACACCTGTAATCAAAGCCTACACACCTGTAATCAAAGCCTACACATCTGTAATCCAGCCTCACACACCTGTCGACAGGGGGCGGCTGTAATCAACCGTGCCTCATTAAAGGACTTTTCTTCTAATAACTGTAACTTAACCTCCCTATAAGGCTGGTGATCCTCATCTCTTCCATACTTCTTCCTCCTCCTCCTCCCTCCTCCTCCTCCTTCTTTTCTTCTTCTTCTTCCCCTTCTTCTTCTTCTTCTTCGTCTTCTTCTTCTTCTTCTTCTTCTTCTCCTCCTCTCCTCCTCCTCCTCCTCCTCCTCCTCCTCCTCCTCCTCCTCCTCCTCCTCCTCCTCCTCCTCCTCCTCCTCCTCCTCCTTCTTCTTCTTCTTCTTCTTCTTCTTCTTCTTCTTCCTCCTCCTCCTCCTCCTCCTCCTCCTCCTCCTCCTCCTCCTCCTCCTCCTCCTCCCTCCTCCTCCTCCTCCTTCTTCTTCTTCGTCTTCTTCCTTCTTCTTCTTCTTCTTCTTCTTCCTCCTCCTCCTCCTCCTCCTCCTCTTCCTCCTCTCTCTCTCCTCCTTCTCTTCTCTTCTTCTTCTTCTTCTTCTTCTTCTTCTTCTTCTTCTTCTTCTTCTTCTTCCTCCTCCTCCTCCTCCTCCTCCTCCTCCTCCTCCTCCTCCTCCTCCTCCTCCTCCTCCTCCTCCTCCTTCATCTTCTTCGTCTTCTTCTTCTTCTTCTTCTTCTTCTTCTCCCTTTTACTATATTCTTCTCCTCTTCTTCCTCTTCTCACTATCCTCCTCCTCCTCTTTCCTCCTCCAATTCTTCCTTCTTTCCGGGGCTTATGGGCTTTACACTCTGGCCAGGAAGGAGTACCTAACCTAACCTAACCTAACCTAACCTAACCCTACCTAACCTAACCACAACCTAATCTAACCACAACCCTAACAAACCACAACCTAACCTAACCACAACCTAGCAAACCACAACCTAACTAGCAAACCACAACCTAACAAACCACAACCTAACCTAACCCAACCACAACCTAATCTAACCACAACCTAACCTAACCTAACCACAACCTAATCTAACCACAACCTAATCAAACCACAACCTAACCTAACCTAACCACAACCTAACAAACCACAACCTAACCTAGCCACAACCTAACCTAACCTAACCAAACCACAACCTAATCTAGCCAGGCCTAACCTGGCCTAGCCAAGCCACAACCCTGTAATCTAGCCACAGCCTAACCGGCTGAGCCTGGCCTAACCTAACCTGATCTGCCCTAACCTAACCAGGCCGCCTCACCTAACCAGACCACAGCCTAACCTAACCAGGCCACAACCTAACCCCAGGGCCACAACCTGGCCAAGCCTGACCCTGGCCTAGCCAGGCCACAACCTAGCCAAGGCCACCAGGCCTGACCTGACCAGGCCACAACCTAACCTAACCAAACCACAACCTAACCAAACCACAACCTAACCTAACCAAAACCTAACCAAACCAAACCACAACCTAACCAAACCACAACCTAATCTAACCACTGCCTAACCTAACCACAACCTAACCACAACCTAACCTAACCTAACCACAACCTAACCTAACCACTGCCTCACCTCACAGACTTCGACCTGGACAACGAATCAGATGAGATAGGATTCATGATTAAGCGGATCAAAGTACACACGAAGAAGGCGCTGAAGGACACGTCATACCGCTTCCCTGGTAACTACGGCGTGGAGAAGTTCCTGGAGCTGTTTTCCGAGGAGGACTACGATGCCTTCTGCCTCGCCTACATGTTCACCTACAGGTAAGTCTTCTTATAATAACACCTGTGGGATTTGTACAGGTATATGTTAATTAGTCACTTTGATGAGAATGTTTATGTGTTAGTTTAGTTACTAAGACACCTTCTGCCTCGCCTTCATGTTCTTCTTCAGGTAAACTTTCTTTTGATAAGAGACTGATTAATTATTGTCATTTAAGGTATTAATTTTTTTACCTGGATTTTTTCAAGGTTTACTATACAGGTACAAAGTTAATATGAGACTGATTTGTTGAGGCCCCACACACACACACACACACACACACACACACACACACACACACACACACACACACACACACACACAGTGGTTTTCACCTTAGCCTCCTGCAGAAAGGCCTCATCATCACATCTTCCTCCTCCCGCAGAGGACTTCGAGGGCGGGACTCTGGGACTGGCGTGGACGGGAACCTAAAGAACGCCGGGGGTGTGTGTGAGGAAAAACAGACACTACCGCGGCAGTCTGGAAGGTATGGTGTGTGTGTGCAGAAGGAAGAATTGTGTGTAGAAAGGTGTGTGTGTGTGGGGGGGAGGGGGGTTGTGTGTGTGTGTGTGTGGGGTTGTGTTTCAATGTGTGTATATGTGGGTTCTTTGATGAATTCTGTGTGTGTGTGTGTGTGTGTGTGTGTGTGTGTGTGTGTGTGTGTAATTATATATCTGTCCGTCTGTCTGCCTGTCTATGTCTTATTTATCTATCTATATAAATATGTATATGTACTTCAGACAACCAACCAATCATGTCCCAGTACTTTAGACGTCCAACCAATCAACTGCCAGTACATTAGACGTCCAACCAATCAACTGCCAGTACTTTAGACGTCCAACCAATCAAATCCCAGAACTTTAGACAACCAACCAATCATATTCTACCACTTTAGACAACCAACCAATCAAATCCCACCACTTTAGAGAACCAACCAATCAAATCCCACCACTTTAGAGAACCAACCAATCAAATCCCACCACTTTAGAGAACCAACCAATCAAATCCCAGCACATTAGACGTCCAACCAATCAAATCCCAGCGCTTTAGACGTCCAACCAATCAACTTCCAGAACCTTAGACGTCCAACCAATCAAATCCTCGTATTTCAGAGCCTCAACACGGGCATCGTCACGCTCCTGAACTACGGCAAACACGTCCCTCCCGCCGTCAGCCACGTCACCCTGGCCCACGAGATCGGTCACAACTTCGGCAGTCCCCACGACCCTGAGTCAGACACCCGCTGTACGCCTGGCGGAGAAGATGGCAACTATATCATGTTCGCCAGGTAAGGGGGACGGGGGGTCATGTTCGCCAGGTAAGGGAGGAGGGGTCATGTTCGCCAGGTAAGGGGGACGGGGGTCATGTTCACCAGGTAAGGGGGACGGGGGCCGCGTTCAACAGGTAGTGGGACGGGGGCCGGTGTTCGCCAGGTATGTGGACGGGGGATTGCGTTCGCCAGGTAAGGGGACGGGGGCCGTGTTCGCCAGGTAAGGGGGACGGGGGTCATGTTCGCCAGGTAAGGGGACAGGGGTCATACCAGGTAAGGGGGACGTAAATATGTTCGCCAGGTAAGGGGACAGGGGTCATGTTCGCCAGGTAAGGGACGGGGGTCATGTTCGCCAGGTAAGGGAGAGGGGGGTCATGTCTGCCAGGTTAGGGGAGGGGGGTCATGTCTGCCAGGTAAGGGGACGGGGGGTCAAGTGTCTGCCAGGTAAGGGAGGAGGGGGTCATGTTCGCCAGGTAAGGGGGATGGGGGCCATGTTCACAGGTAAGGGGACGTAAATAAGTGTTCGCCAGGTAAGGGAGACGGGGGGCTCAAGTGTCTGCCAGGCAAGGGGACGGGGGTCATGTTCGCCAGGTAAGGGAACGTGTCTATGTTCGCCAGGTAAGGGGGGAGGGGGGTTATGTTCGCCAGGTAGTGGGGGGGGGATATCATCCTCAAGTATAGTGATGATTTGTTCGAGGAGGAACTTAGTCAAGGATGACTCGAGGGAAAGAACGGTGTGAAAGGGAGGAAGGAGGTGGGGAGGAGGAAGAGTTTTAGGGAAGAAGGAGGAGGAGGAAGGTATGGAGGAGAAGAGGGGAGACTAGGTAGTGGGGGGGGGATATCATCCTCAAGTATAGTGATGATTTGTTCGAGGAGGAACTTAGTCAAGGATGACTCGAGGGAAAGAACGGTGTGAAAGGGAGGAAGGAGGTGGGGAGGAGGAAGAGTTTTAGGGAAGAAGGAGGAGGAGGAAGGTATGGAGGAGAAGAGGGGAGACTATAGGAAAGGAGAAGGATAGGAAAGGTAGGAAGGAAGAGGAAGACTTTTAGGTAAGTAGGAGGAGAAGGAGGTGGAGGAGAAAGAAGAAGAAAAAGAGGCTATACTGAACAACAAGAAGGAGGAGGAGGAGGAAGAAGCAAAATCTACACAAATTAACCCCCAAAAAATCATACCCTCCCCCCCTACTCTCACCCCATCCTTCCCTCTCTCTCTCCTACACAGAGCTACATCAGGCGACAAACGCAACAACAACAAGTTCTCCCCGTGTTCCCTGCGTCAGATCAACAGCGTCCTCAACTCCAAAGCCAGGGACTCAAAGGGTTGCTTCACCGAGCCCCAGAAAGCGATCTGCGGCAATGGAGTGGTGGAGGTGGGTGAGGAATGCGATTGCGGCTGGGAGGAAGATTGCGATGAGGCGTGCTGTTACCCTATGAAGAACAATCCCAAGACGAATCAAAAGCCTTGTACACTGAGACCCAATAAAGTCTGTTCTCCGTCACAGGTGAGTTGGCTAATTAGGTGTTTGTTTACCTGGTTGTTTGTTTACCTGGTTGTTTGTTTACCTGGTTGTTTGATCGTTTGTACTATATATTTTTTTTTATTCGTTTCAATGTTATTCTCAAGTTATTCTCTTCTGAATATTAACCCCCACACACTCAAACACTACCCCCACGCACTCAACACTACCCCCACGCACTCAAACACTACCCCCACACACTCAAACACTACCCCCACACACACTCAACCCCCACACAACACAAAAACAACTTCACGTACTCTTACAAACCCTAATCTAGACGTTGCTAATAAGGAAAATAACACGTGACCTTAGCCTTGACCTTTGACCTGTATTTCAAGGGCCCCTGTTGTACCTACGACTGTCGCATGAAGGAGGGAGACAAGTGTAGGGATGATAATGGCTGCCGGGACTCCTCCTTCTGCAATGGACGTGTCCCTGAGTGTCCACCCTCTACCAACAAGCCAAATAAGGTAAGTGTCTCATCCTTCCTTCTTTCCTTCCTTCCTTCCTTCCTTCAATCCTTCTTTTCTTCTTTCTTCCTTTCATTCCTTCCTTCCTTCCTTTCCTTTTTTCTTTCATTCATTTATTCATTCTTCCTTCCTTCCTTCCTTCCTTCCTTCCTTCCTTCCTTCCTTCCTTTTCCTTCATTTTGACTTATTATATTAGTACCTTTTTACTACATTTGTACATTTTAATATATAATACACATTTTCCCCCCATTATATATATTAATATTACTCCATGTATTAAAATTTTCCCCCTTCCCCCCCTAGACGATCTGCAATGAGGAATTCGTCTGTTACAAGGGCGAATGTAGTGGCTCCATCTGCCTGGCGTACGGGTTGGAGTCTTGCCAGTGCGAACGAAGCCACGGCGACCCAGTTACTAAAGCGTGTGAGCTGTGTTGCAAATTACCAGGAGAAAATCAGCTTTGTTTGTGAGTGAAATTTGCTGTTGTTGTTGTTTTTGATGGTGGTTTGGGATTATAATTGACCTCCCCATGACCTCTCAATCCCACCTCAACCCGATGTTTAGATTAAATACCTTAGTTTATTTTAGTGTGTGGTTTGGTCAGTCTGTTGGTAAGGTTAAGTTAAGTTAGGTTAGGTTTGGTTTGTTTAAGTTTGGTTAGATTAAGTTAAGCTACGTTAGGTGTGCTTAAGTTAGGTTAGGTTAATTTTGGGTAGGTTATTCCTTACAGTCTCTCATTTGACTTCCTACTTCCTCCTCACAGTCTCTCATTTGACTTCCTACTTCCTCCTTACAGTCTCTCATTTGACTTCCTACTTCCTCCTCATAGTCTCTCATTTGACTTCCTACTTCCTCCTCACAGTCTCTCATTTGACTTTCTACTTCCTCCTCACAGTCTCTCATTTGACTTTCTACTTCCTCCTCACAGTCTCTCATTTGACTTTCTACTTCCTCCTCACAGTCTCTCATTTGACTTCCTTCCTCCTCACAGTCTCTCATTTGACTTTCTACTTCCTCCTCACAGTCTCTCATTTGACTTCTACTTCCTCCTCACAGTCTCTCATTTGACTTCCTACTTCCTCCTTACAGTCTCTCATTTGACTTCCTACTTCCTCCTCACAGTCTCTCATTTGACTTTCTACTTCCTCCTCACAGTCTCTCATTTGACTTCCTACTTCCTCCTCACAGTCTCTCATTTGACTTTCTACTTCCTCCTCACAGTCTCTCATTTGACTTCCTACTTCCTCCTCACAGTCTCTCATTTGACTTCCTACTTCCTCCTCACAGTCTCTCATTTGACTTTCTACTTCCTCCTCACAGTCTCTCATTTGACTTTCTACTTCCTCCTCACAGTCTCTCATTTGACTTTCTACTTCCTCCTCACAGTCTCTCATTTGACTTTCTACTTCCTCCTCACAGTCTCTCATTTGACTTCCTCCTCACAGATCCTCATTTGAGTGGAATGTCCCTCCGTACGACATCCCGGACATGTACGCTAAAGCTGGAACTCCCTGCAATAACTACAAGGGCTACTGTGATGTATTTAAGAAGTGTAGAGAGGTAAGACACACACACACACACACACACTACCATACACACACACACACACACTACCATACACACACACATACACACTTTGAGTCAGCAGTTGTGAATTCCAGTGAACGTTTGTTGAATTTGTCTTAAAACGATGATGATGGTGATAATGATTTATAAATGATATTATCAATTTGATTCATTTCTTAAATATTACTTACCAACATTTCAAGACATTTATGAAACATTTATTAACATTTCAGAGATTTATCAAACATTTACCAACATTTCAGAGATTTATCAAACATTTACCAACATTTATCAACATTTTGGGGACCTGTTAAACATTCACCAACATTTACCGACATTTCAGGGACTTGTCTAACATTTACCAACATTTACCGACATTTCAGGGACTTGTCTAACATTCACCAACACCTCGAGACCTGTTAAACCTTACTAACGTGTACCCCTTCGTCAGGTTGATCCATCGGGTCCTCTGGCTACCCTTCGAGGTCTCCTACTGAGTGACGAATCCTTAGCCAACCTTCAGAGATGGATCATAGAGCACTGGTATGCCGTTCTCTTCGTCGTCCTCGCCGTCATGGTCCTGCTGGTGAGTGTCCTGGTGATGGTGGTGACTGTAGGAGGTGTGGTGATGGTGGTGGTGACTGTTGGAGGTGTGGTGGTGACTATTGTTAGGGGGTGAGGGTGTCTTTGGGAAGGGTAGTGATAAGTGGGGTGTGGTGGTGACTGTGTGAGGGTGGTGGTGATGTGTGGTGACTGTGATGGATGGTGATGATATTGGTGATTATATGAGGGAAGTAATGGTGATAATAGCGACCATTAGGTAGTTAGTCTGTTGTTTGTGTGTTACTCTTTTATGACCTATATTGTCCGGTGTTAGTACAGGAGGAATAGAAACTGGAATACCCACTCAAAATCTCACTGGATAACACCCTTCTCATATCCGATCCATTCCGGAGATTGAACCCAGGACACAATGGTAGGAAGCACGCGTGTTATCATCAGCGTGTGTGGATGGGATGGTGGTGGTGGTGTTGGTGATACAATACTGGTGAATATAAAGGAAAAATAAAATTGCAATTGTTGCTTATGGTGATTTTAATGAAGCGTCTTGGTGTCTGCCTTCTTGGTACAGTAAATACAACAATGCCAGATTGACTCATAGATAAACCGACCCCTCTCATTCAAGTGTCATTTTTTTCTAATATTTTACACCAATATTTAGCCACTGTATACTCACCATTCTCTCTACCTACAGCATATATAGTGAAGATAGCAATGTGTGTGTCAGTGTGTAGTCGGGTTGGTGTCGCTTAAGCTGTCAGTGTCTGCTGTTGAACTGTATGTGGGTTGGGAATAGTTGAGTGACAGATTAGAGGTGGATAAGCTTTCTGTTGATGTTTTTATTATGGGAGAATGGACACGGGTTTAAGGAGGTGGACAGGACTAGGTTCATTAGAATGGAGGGGTGCTGAGTGTAGAGAGGGGGGAGGGGTGCTGAGTGTAGAGAGGGGGCGCTGAGTGTAGAGAGGGGGGTGCTGAGTGTATAGAGGGGGAGGGTGCTGGGTTTATAGAGTGGGAGGCGGCTTTGTTTATAGAGAGGGGGAGTGGGCTGGGTGTATGGGGAGGGAGATAAAAAATGAACCTCCCCTTATAGAAGAATGCCACTTAAGTGATGTGATGTTATGTGATGTTATGTGACGTTACCTGTAAGTTCTGTAACCTTGTCCTTTCGTGCATCTGACCTCATGACATCAAGATACCGACATCTCTGTAAGGATGACAAATTGAACACACTATATTTAATAACCTTTGTGTTGATACCTAATGATCAGATTCAGACACAAACCTCAAACGATGATAAAATTCTTTTGTTTCTCGTTTGATTACTTGTTTATTGTTGTTTGTCTGCATGTTAGAGTTAAATCCTGATGGCCCATGCTTAACGGTACTTTGGCATGTGCCTTTCCTGTGATTACGTTGTGGTTTGATTCTGTGTTTGACTATGAAAGGAAGGTTATTTTGAGGATAGCATTTTCCAGGGTTACGGTGATTTGTGCTGGTAAAATCACAGATAGGGTTTACATGTAGCAGGACGCTCTTAATTGTTCCTTGTCTCTCTTGTTAGTATTTTTTTCCAGTTCTCTTTGATGTCCAGCTTGTAAGGAAGTGACCTTTCAGCATGTTGGCATGGAAAGAACTGTCATGGTGGAAATAATGTTAATAATCCTTTTTTTTTTTAATCCCGTGGTACTAACATTTAAATTAACATCTCCAAGTGTATATATAATTTTTTTATTAATAATATAGTCATGTAAGTTATTTTTTTCACAGGATTTAATGAGTTTATATAGAATTTCTCCACATTTCAAGTTGCACCTCCAAGTACCAGCTCCTCCCCTTGGCGCTATAATAGTTCTTGACTGCATCTTGACCTCATATACCCCTAACAGCTAGGTATTCCTTGACCCTCCTCGACTTTTTTGTGTTTTTGACCTGACCGGACCTCTGACCTCTCCCAAAATTTATACATTTGGTTTGCATTTACCCAGTGACCTGTTTTCACCATTAGACTACTATGTTAAAACCCATCTCTACATAAACAGCTGGTATATTGAACACCTGCTATATTTAATACCTGCTATATTTAACACGTATATTAACACCTGCTATATTTAATACCTGCTATATTTAACACGTATATTAACACCTGCTATTTTTAATACCTGCTATTTTTAATACCTGCTATATTTAACACGTATATTAACACCTGCTATATTTAACACTTATACTAACACCCTACTCAATTGCTATACTAAAAATTCCTCTTATCAATTTTCCCACACAATAGCAATACTCATTTTCGGTCACCAGGTCAAAGGTCATCATTTCCTATCTGATTCTACACTCGACTGATTACATAGTTACCTACTCTTCCCTTAATGACTGACGAGGCGGTGGTTTTTTCTTGACCTTTTTGTTTTAGTTTTGAATTACAGTATGTAGGTGTTTCTCGTTAGCCCTATGATCAAGTTCACTAGAGTTCTCCATCATCTCAGTTCACCTTCCAGAGTCAGAGCTCACTCCTAGAGATCTTCCTCGTCTCACTCAGCTCACCCTCCAGAGCTCTTACTCAACTCAGCTCACCCTCCAGAGCTCTTACTCATCTCAGCTCACCCTTCAGAGTACAAGTACCCTTTCATCTCACCTCACCCTCCAGAGCTCCTCCTCGACATAGGCTTCACAAGTATCACCTTTGCAGATGCCTTTGATTGGTATCTGCACCATGGATCCAACATACAAGGTGGAGCTAGAGCCCTCCTTCACCTCCTCCTTCTACTACTACTTCTACCAAGGTCAGCTGCGGTGCTCGGCCGATGTGGCAGTACCTCTCATGGGTAGGCTCTTGTCCTAGCCGCCACGCACCCGACCCACCCAGCAACGTCTGTCGCTCACCCAGTCAAAGCTTGTCACTCAGATGCACCGCTAAACACAACCCCACCCACCCCCTCCCCTAGGCGTCAATATCACTCAGGAACCAATATAATTTAGTTATGATTATCAACAATCAGATGTATTCAGTTTCTCTTCAACCAGTATATTCGCAAATTATCGAAAATTATTTGACATTTTACTAAATTCAGAGGAGGGAGATTTTAAATTGAAAAACGACAAATTACATATACTGTATTTTTTTAGTAATTAACTTTTTATTTTTTTTTTTACATTTGAAAACGACTGGATTATTGTGCAGGTTGGTCCTTCCTCCCTCCTTCACTCTTCTCACTTTCCATCCTCCCTCCCCCCTTCTTTCCCTCCCACCCCCCCTTACTCCCCTCCCTGCCCTACCATTTGTGTTGAACAAGTAAGACGAGGGAAGGATTGATTATTGGCTTCGTCCCTCAAACTAATAAATCCTATCCTGTGTTTACATGGCCCCGAGGTAGGCAGGATATGAGCAGTTGACTCCCTCCCTCCCTCCCTCCTCTAGCACCCTTCACTCAGGCACTCTAAAGGCCTTGCTGGTTGGTGTGCTAGCTTTGTGCACTCAGCAGTCTTGTACACTCTTAACTGGATTGTCTTTACAGTGCATGATGCTAATTTGTAACAGGTTATCTGGAAGTCATCGCCATTCACCTGGTATCAATGTTTACAGTTTGTCTTGACACATCAGTAAACGTCTTAATTCATTATTAGTTTTTTCCTTGACTCATTACTCTTATTTAAAGCAGGAAAATTTCTTTGATTCGGTTGTATATTAGAATAAATTTCCTCAACTTAAAGAGATCCGTAAGCATTAGATATTTGGGTATTATTTTCTTGTAGCTCCGTTCATTCCTACCACTCATCTATTATCATATTCGGATAAGACGTCTAATTATAAGATAATTTTCATCTATTACATTACCGGCGGAAATGTATAATAACGGAGATAGCTCTTCCAAAATATTTTCTATTTTCTTCCATTAACATCCCGCCATTATCGTCTGCCTCTCACCCAACACTGTGTCTCCTTCATAAATCATCCTGCACATGTGTTGCTGTACACGTCACGCAGCCAATCAAAAGCCTTTTTTATTTTTAAACCAATTAAAATGTTTTTGGGTTTAATTTGCGATATTTTTGGCCCAATCAAATTCGAGTATTCTTTTTGGTCTCTCATACAGTATTTTGAAATTCAAGTTCAGTTCCGACCATGGAAGTCTGCGATGGGTGTCACTTAAAGTATATGGAGCTGATTGCGAGTTTTGGGGAAAAAAACGAGAAATTATAGCATTTTTTCGATCGCATGGTGTTCTTCCAACCTCAGTAAAGTGTACTAAGAGCAAGACTGAATGTAAATATCGCAAAGACCAACATATGTGGCGGTGGGTAAGAATCCCAGAATGCAACGACGAACAAGAACCAGGCCAATAAGGTAAGAAATAGGTGATTCCATCATATGGTGAGAGTCAGTTAGGTTAGGTCAGGTTAGGTTAGGTTTGGTTATTGATTTCTTGGAAAACGTCAAACGAAAAAAATCGCTAAAAAAAAAAGGCAAATTTCCGCCAAAAATGAAGGTCATATTCGGTCTCAGCACACACAAATACACTAGAAAAATATATTTTTAACTTGCTACAAGTGAACGGAGCTACAAGAAAATTTACCGATATTTGTATAATAAAATTAAACACTTTATTTCCCCATTCCAGGCATTTTCATTGTTTATATTAATCACTAAACAATAAAAATCGATATCCTATTAAATTTATATACACTAATTTTCATCTAATCTCAAAAACTGAAAATATTGTAGCTATATCATGGCTAAAGAGACTAAGAGTACATAGCTATTTTATGATAAACTTCCATCTAACTTTCAATGAGCATAAATACTCGGTCATTATTTTTAATTCGAGAAACATAAATAATTACTATATTTTATGATGAAATAAAAAGGAACTTAAAAATTAATTGGAATGAAGTCTGATCATAATTATCAGACTTTATACTGATTTTATATTGCACATCTCAAAATATAATAATTATTTAGGATTCTCAAGTTACAAAATACCCTGTAACTGTAAAGATAATTTTGCTGTATCGAACTAGAGGCAAGACTCGTGTACCGTAGTAGATCAGTGTGCTGTATTCATTATGTAATCTTCAGGTAGAATAAGAGTTGGTGAAGACAAACTTTTTTTGCACTGAAGTTAGAAGTTTAGTATTGAAGAGCATGGTGGTGTAGAGGGTCCACTAAATTCTGGAACTGGACCCAGAAACTGATCTGATTTGACCTGACCTGACCTGGCCTAGCCCAAATTAATCCTTTCCCAACTTATTCTAACCCAGTATATTTAATCCTAACTACACCCAATCTAATCTACCCATAACCAAGCCTAACCTAACCTAACCAAGCCTAACCTAACCAAATCAAAGCTATCTTGACCTAACCAAAACTGAACCTCACTCAAACCTATCTTAGCCTAACCTAACCAAATTTGGTGTTTCAATATGATAATTTGTGCTTAATTCTGGGTCCAGGAATCTAGTGTTTCTGTGAATTATTATACACCCAGATATACATACTGTTATACTTTATTATAAACCCAGATATACATACTGTTATACTTTATTATAAACCCAGATATACATACTGTTATACATTATTATACACCCAGATATACATACTGTTATACATTATTATACATTAGTTAGGATGTGGGTGCTCCATTCTTAACTGTCATGTAAACTGGTGCTATCCTATTTTTCTTGACCTTTTTTATTTTTACCTGACTATATTAGATAATTGGCCTATTCTATATTACCTTTTTGTGATCCTTTTTATATGACCTATTAAGTAAATGGCCCTATATATATGACCTACTATCTTAATGACCCCTTTTATTTGATCTATAATGTAACTGAGTTCTTGTAAATTACGAATCTTTGTGAATCACTCTTTCAGTAGATCTCATTTGTAATTATAATTCAAACCTCTTGTCAATATTTTCTTATATAAATGACCCAATTTATATAGGAGTTGCCTTGTATTTGATTTTTTTTTTTTACGAGCGACCTGTTTTACGAATGACTTGTAAGTGACATCTTTTACAAATGACATAAGTGAACCCTTTTACCAGTGACCAGATCTTTCCCTAACACCCAGACAGTCCTCCCTAACTACACGTAATTTCCTCCCGTGTGTCAAAATCTTCATAATAATCCACTAAATCTTGGGAGAATTTGTCTCTCAACATAAATACCGAGTCATTGATGTCTTATGCTTTTTCCTTTCCTGTCTTTAGTTGCATGTTGCATGTTATTGATGAATATGCATGTTGCAGAGGAGGAAACCGAGGTCCGATGATGAGAGTGATTGTACGGTGGAGGTTGAGATTGATGAGGAGGTGAAAAAAACTCAGGAATGTCCAGCGGAAGATGGAGGTTTGTGCGTTGTGGTGATGGAGGTTGATTCCCCGCCAGACGTATACTGTAATTGTAATATTGGTCCGCTGGTATATTAGAAATCACGCGTAAACAAAACTGGAATTGTATCCGTCCCTGCTGTAAAATTTGTATTGGTAAATAGGTAACGGAGATCTTGTAGGTACCAAACTGTAACCAAAATTGACCCTGCTGTAACATTTGTACTGGTAACAGAAATCACATGTATATATATATATATATACCAAACTGTATCCATCCTCTGGTGTATTATCTGTACTGGACCTTCTGTATTTAAATTAACACAAGTTGGGATAGTTTATGTATGGAGGGTACAGTACATTACAGTAGTTGATGACAACTTTTGTCCTGTAGAATTTTTTACTAAGATTATTTACCTGAAGTTACTGTACAAACAATCTTACTGTAATTGTTTGTGGTAGAAACTGTATGTCATCCCTGTACTAATGAGAGTATGAAAAACAAAAGATATACAGTACTGGGGCCAGATACTCAAAAACATTAATGGGACTGTATGTCTTTGTTTACCCCGTAACTGGACTTACAGTCTCAGATCGGTATACTCAAAACAAATATTTGACATCAAACTCCATAAGTGAGCTCATAATCTAGCGCATAACTTACACCACCTCCTGAGGTGCTGTAACACTCTCAACCCGGATGTAGTAGTCGCTAATTCCCGATTGTATAAAAAATAATAATAATATATGTTGTAATAATGTCTTTTTCATACTTTTTTTTGCGATAATAAGAGGCTTGATTGCTCCTAATTGTCGCAGTTTGGAAGAGACGCATCTTTCTTCTTCTTACAAATTATAAAGTATTTTTTACCAAAACAGGAGGTTTGTATTGTTCACACTTAGGGTAAAAATATTTTTTATGACTGAGTAAACTTACAGATAGACCTTATTAACGTTGTATAGCCGTAAATATCCCTCAGTAATGAAAGCCAAATATGAGGTCAAGTGAACATTCATGCCTAGACTTCGCCTTGTTTTTCTAATATTCAACCAATAGCCTTAGCCTATTTTCTTATGTATATGGCTTATGATAACATGAAAGGCTATAAATTTCCATAGGCTAGCCAAAATTAAATGATATTAGATGTAAAATAAGGATTGCAATTAACTTGATTAAGCTAGGGCCCTATATAACTGCTTTTTCAGTCTTAGCCAAATAAATGTTTAAATGTGGGGGCCTAGTTAACTTAGTTAGAACATGAAGAATATTTAAATAGGAAATTATACCAATAGGTTATAGGTTAGGTGAGGTTTGGTTATGTTATGCTATGTTATGCTATGTTATGTTAGGTAAGGTTAGAGAATATGTACATGGCAATATTGGTGAGTGTCAGGCTGTCAGTGAGACACTTTGTCTAGCAGCTACCTTAGGCCTAGTTCCAGTCTTTCCATGAACAGTATCCTAAGGTAGAGTATTAATTTTAGAAACTTTAAGGCTAATGCAATATACAGTGGGGTATGCTATAACGAACGGATCCTACTACGAATATTCCTATTTTTACCTATAAAATTGAGAATGCTATAACGAACGAAACTCCTACAACGAATGATTATTACAAATTTAATGATATTCAGGGGTTTAGATGCCAACAATTTTAACCCAAACATTGCTATAACGGGTTCTAGAACCACATCAGGGGGATTCAATTCAGACCAAATAACCCAAACATTGAAAGGAAAACATCAGGGGGATTCGAGCAATAACATTCACTGCCTTTACAACTTCATCCCAGGCATGATTCTTCAATTTGATTGTACATCTCGAGTCCAACTTCCCTAAAATTAAATTCTTTCTTTTGGTGACTTCACACACCATGGCGTATACTTCCGCCTCACTGAAATTTGGGCGTCTTTACAGGTGGTTGTCCGTCCATCTTTTTTATTTACAAACTTATATTACGTGCGTTGTTCTTAGCTGATTTTTCCTTCTCTTATGATTGGTCAATGATTTTGTTAACTGAGCGCTAATTGGCCAACTAGCTCCTGCACTGCCATCTACCTTCCGACAAGAGAACTGAATTTACAGGGTAAACACTAGAGTTATGATAACTTACGGACTGCTTACGGAACTGCAATTAAATTTTGAGTATGCTAAATTTATGGGACTGTAAGGAGTCTGCAATATATGGTACTGTATCTCGCTAATATACGTAACTTATGAGGTGTTTTGAGTATCCGGCCCCTGGTGTGTGTCATGGTGTCATACAGAACTAGCATAACAAATACTATTAAAAGTAATAAACATACAGTAATATTTTAACCAGAAGTAGCCCATGTTACTATGTATACTGAACCCCGTCAACGCAGGAGTAAATGTCATGGTTGTCGTAGCCAGCTGGATGTTGGTAGTCTGAGGTAGTTAAGTACTGTAGTTGTATTAGGAGTATTTACATTGATTTTGATAAAGGAATTGGTCTTGCTTTTAGGATAGAGTATTATAATGGGTTGATTTTGTGTCTTATGGAGATGAGCGATGGTCTGATGGTGTAAATGATTTCTCTTAATGTTAACTGTATTATTTTGCCTCAGTTGCTCTTGTTTCTTTAATTTTTTTTATTCTATTGTAATGACATATTGGAGTGCCATTATAACTCATAGACATAATCTTTGTTTTGGTTCGGACTGACTATTTCCGTGTCATTTTGTCTTTCATAGCACAACAGAATTTTAACCCTATTTGACCAGATTTTTATATGGAAAAATTCTTCTTATTATTAATTTTTTTTTTCATCAGGTTTTACTTTCAATGTCCCTCAAGAGTGTGGTGATGTTGTGGAGCAGAGATGCCCCAGTAGGTAACTTGTGGCTATACCCCATTACAAGAGACAGACCTTCCTGTGGTGATATGTTATTGTGACTCCGATTTTGCTAATGTTAGTTATTTTTTTACAGGTGGCGATAATCAAGGTGTTCGGGAAGACGCCAGCGACGGTGAGGCTAAGGAACCGGACCATCATGCATAAGAACTCTGGAGCGCTGCAGTACTCTGTGCCCGCTACAGCCAATGGTACCACGGCCAATGGCACCACGGCCAATGGCACCACGGCCAATGGCACCATGGCCAACGGTGCCACTGCCAACGGTACCGCTGCCAATCATGTTGTACACCCTACAGTTGTCAGAACTAATTTGCCATTTAAGAGGAAAGTGAACGAAGTGCGTAGAGCAGCCACCAAGGCCAAGCGGGCAGCCAAGAGCCAGCTCAGTCGACCTCACAAGAAATCAAGTAGACGCCCCGATGGTGCTGTAACATCCCCTACAGAGTCTGATAAGAGTGGCCCCGGTGCTACCGAAGGTGCTACTACACCTAATGATACTCGGATGAAGGATCGCCTCTCGAGTAGGTTCTCAATCATTAGTTTCAAGACCTTCAGACCTAAGTCTCTTAGTCCGGACAAACACAAGAGCAAAAACCAAGACAAACGGAAATCTAAGAGTAGCAACGATAAGAAGTCCAAATCAAAAAGTTCAAAGCATCACCACAGAAGTCGAAGTCCAGACAAGCAGCGAAGGTCGGAAGGTCGCGGTGCCGAGAGCCCAGATAAACACAGAAGGTCTAAAAGCCCAAGTAAACGGGCCAGTCTGGAGGACGACCGCAGGAAGTCGAGGAATCGTTCGGCCAGTCCCGACAAAATACGTAGATCCTCCAGCCCTGATAAAACTCAGAGACAAAAAGCGAGAAGCCCCGAAAAACACCGGAAGATTGGCGAAGGGAACTGGCTGATCAACAAGTTCCTCGCTGATGAAGAGAAGACTGCCAAACCGGTTGTAAATGGTTCTCTGATGGGGTCACTGAACGGGTCGCTCAGCTCCGTCAACGCCGTGCTGGGCGGGCCCACCAGCAGCCCCCAGATGGGACCGGTAAGAAATGGGTCTACTCGGGGTCTGCTAGCAAGTGATAGCAACAGAGGTAGTCCCCTGAGGGGCTTTGTCAACGAGGCCTTCATCAGTTCTCCTCGAGGTGCCCGCAACCACAGCTCCTTAAGGGTCACCAAGTCAGTCAGTCCAGAGGGCCTCGACTTTGACTTGGGGCCCAGCCAGTACCGTAGGTCTATTAGTATGGAAGCCTATAATCGACCCCCAGCCAGTCCGGATAAGAGAAAACGATCCATATTGGACGAAGGGCTCAGTCCAGACAAGAGAAGACGCTTTAGTAGTCCAGAGAAAACTCAAAGACCACGTAGTCCCTCTAAAGAGCGAAGACTAGCGTGCCCGGACAGGAACCGTCGCACTTTAGATATGGAGAGGCGTCACTCCTCCATCTCGCCCTTGTCATCCAAGACCAACTCGTACTCGTCAGTGCCCGAGCGTCTCCGCGAGAAGCTCTCGCTAATCACTGCCAGTCCTTCAGGTAGCGTCGCCTCCATCCTGCCTCCGTCGGAACCTGCAGACAACGTTAGCCTCCAATCTTCCACTCACTCTAGCCGGTGTAAACCCAAGGATTGGGTCTGAGATGCCCCGGATAGTGATAGTCTTCAGGATTTTGATAGCAAGAAACTTTTGTCTGGGATGTGTGACTCACTCTGCCACTCCCAGGTAATGGCATCCTTGAACAATTGTAACATGACACCAGTAAGAGTGTCACAAGTGTTACACTATCACGAGGATGCTGCCTCTATTTTGTGCCAACAAGTTTTTAATCTTCATTACTCATATAACTGAGATTTACAAGTCCAGTAAACGGATGTGGTGTTCACTCCATCAGGTGCATTTTCTGGATAAGGTGAGGAGGAGAAGTGTAGCGAATACTGAGATGTGGTGACGCGTGTGTGGTCTTGGCGACCACACTCACACAGATAAAGGAAAGTTCTCACTGTTTTATTTAATGGATATTTATTTGTAATTCGAGAATATTGGCAGTACAGTATAATGTTGCCTGTTGCAGCTAATCCTAAGTTTAGTCAGTGACATGTTGCTTTGTGATAATATTTTTACGTCTACATTATTAAGTTTGTTTCGCTCAAGACTTAAGTAGGAACTAACAAAGCATCTCGAGTCGGTATGTCCCCAGTAGAGTGGCGATGCTCTACAGGTGAAGTCGGCCAACACTTGTACGTACGGTCGAGGACACGTGCGTTGACGACTTCACTCGACCGCCTTACCGTGTGTGTTGGCAAAACATCTTTAACCTTTAACTAATTTATGTACAGTACAATCAAATGATGTCTGTTTCGTGTTTACTCTTTTATGAAAACATATAACAACACATAATTGTATTTCTTTAGTGTGAAGATCATCTTTGTTTCAGTAACTTATGTGAAAACAAGTGAAATCAGCCACATCAACTTATAACATTCTTTAACAGTTGTTTCCATGTGTTGTTTGAGAGTGTTGTAACATTTAAGGTATGGAGTCGACCAGTCACTGAGTTCTTAGGGGAAGAGTGTGTCTCTCAACTCCCTCCTGTGTCTTACAGTACAGAGAGATAAGTTTTTGTCCACTTGTCACTTCATGATCATTTGACCTCGACAATACAATTCGACCATTTTTCCTGAGCCTTTAGTTGTGAGTTATAATCCATTTTTTTCCTATTTTGTTTACCAGTTTTAAGTCATTACCTAATCCACTTCTCAACTTGTGCTGAGCTGCACGATCTCATCTCCTGTTCTCACTACCTGTACTTGTAAACCTTTAAGTGTGTAGCTTAAAACTGCTACATATTGTAACCTGTATATTGTAAATCTGTGCAAGATATTTTAATACTTTTTGAAGGCTAATCTACTAGTGTGCTTCTGATTACCGACTGCGTTGTAGGAACAGCGTGTTAACATTATAGTTTGTGTTAACATTATAGTTTGTAAAAAAAAAAAAAATTATGAATCATGGGGATGTCACGTCCAACCGATCAGATAATGGTACGATGATCCTTTGTTTTTCTCGACGTAAGATTAAGTGACCAATGGGGTGGGTATAATAGGGTGTGTGTTGGTGTTGTGAATCGCTGGAGCGTGGGGTAGTTTCTCCTTGTATAGTCTGCTAGGGCATGCCGTAGGGGAAAAAAACAAGCATTATTTTTTAATGGGGTTCTTTCTATGTCTATCTGAGCGACTCTTTCAAACTGCTGGTTAAGTTTGAAAAGCCCAAAAAATAAATAAATGGAATATGGTAGTTTATAAAATTAGTGCCGACTCTTTCTTTGTCATGTGGTTATTGGTTTTAGTTAAGACGGATAAAACCAACCGGATGTCTGAGTGAATGATGATCCTTATTCTTCTTCCATACATGGGCATTATTATCCACGGAGGGTCGAAATGCTTGGTGCTAGAATGTGCTGGTTGATAAAGAATATTGCTGTCAAATTTGAAGTGTGTAAGAAAGTTAAAACTTTTACAAAAATATGCAACATACCTCTGTAGTGTACCCAGGGATGTAAAACAGAGAGCTAGCGCCATTTCACATGTTTACAACTGACTGGGCTCGAAAATTCTGCCATCTGGTAGCATAAGGCGATCATGGTAACTAGGAAGAATGTTTATGAATCACTGTTAGCACTGGATTATTTAGAAGTTTGTTTTGCTCTTCGAAAAATTTATAGAAGACTTATATATTTGTTTATACAGGCATCCCCAGGTTACGGAATTTCACTCTTAGGGAATTTGTAAATTATGACCAATAATTTCGCGTTACGGCCCGTAAATCCGCCCTTACGGAAATTGGGGTAAATTAAAATAAATAAAAAATCACTATAGTATAAAATTATAATTTTTTTTTTAAATGGATAATTTGTTTGGTGTTGATTTCTTGGTGTTTGCTACCGCCAAGTGAGGCTTCGCCACGAGGAGTCACTCCATTGTTTACATCCAGTGTGCGCGCATATGTTTCGCGCCCCAGCAGTTTGATTTAACATTTACAAACATACAGTAAGTACAGTACAGTGCATTACCCTTATTCAAGATGACTGGAAAAAGGCCATCAAGTGGAAGTGACCGCAGTAGTGCAAAAAGAAGCCGCAAAGGTGAGTACAGTACAATATTTTTATTTATTCCAACTGTATTTCTCTTCATATTACATGTACAGTATATCACTCGCACCTACAGTGATTTACTTGCATAAATTATTTAATGTACTGTATTTTGTATGTGTTTATAAATGTTAATTTTCATTCATAAAAGTGCTTGAATTACTCTTTTGGGGCTGAAAAAAATCCCGTAGGAATGCATCTCCAGTTTTATAATGGAAGTCAATGGGAAAATAGGTTTTGCGTTACGGAATTTCACGATGCGGTCAATTTTCCAGGAACGGAACCCATCTGTAACGCGGGGGATGCCTGTACAGTATTAGTACAGTATCTGTATACACTCTTTAAAAAAGGTTGGCAACACACAGATACCTACCATCAGTGTTCAGGTAATCCTCTCGTTGCCTTTCGCTCTGTTTTATATCACTGGTGTATATTTCAAAGTTCCATTATCTTTTATTAACTACACAATGATGAATTTCAGCAACTGTTCATCATTAATCAGGAATATGGATTTGGACTCAAGGTTTTGTTTCCTCTTGATAATTTATTCTACAATTTTTAAGTCTTTTTAGCGAGATATTTATTTACATTTCAGTGCTGCCGACATTACCCAACATTTCAGAATCTCTCTACAACTCGGTACAGTAACACATAATCATATCGAATACATTTGAGATAATCTTAAACTGAGACCTGTATGAAATTTGCATAGTTGTTCTGTAGAGAGATTTGAGATGGTGGGAATGGCTAAGCATATGTGATAAGTGAAGAAGGAATACGATATAGAATGTGATTATTAAGATGAATCGATCAGTTATGGAAGTATAAAAGCGATGATCAAAAGAAGCATTTAGTTGTATATATGAGTTTTGGTGTGACCTGCCTCTTCTCCCTGGCCATGGGGGAGGGAGAGACAAAAGAAGGTTGAAGGGTCCCGAATGACGTCATGTCTCTGACCACCGTGTGTCCTCGGAAGCGATGCGGATCCTGTAACACTTGTTGGGATTACCCGATCCATTAGAGCTAAAATACTCGCATGAGATTAGAAGGAATGTATGTGATTATAAAGGGACTGGAAAGACCACATGTATGGGATTAGGAAAAAAGAAGGATTAGAAGTGAGATTGGGATTAAAAGGACCACATTTTGGACCGTATGATGTGATTAATTACATGGATTTGTTTATAATAATTTAACTTGTTGTCTTTGTTAATCCAATGAAATATGAAGTACAAGCAGCAGTTGAGAGGATGGGACGAACCTTTGGGAGGACTATATCGGTAGCTTATCATTGGACCTATTAGGTATCGTAGCTCTTTATGCTAAATTGTTCCATGCTGTGGAGTTTAATTTGTTTATATTCTCCCTATTAGAATTTAACATCCAAAAAAAAAAAGTTAAAAAATTCAAGTAGATTGAAGTATGGTAGACTACTGTCATTCATCAATTATTCTACAATTAAAAAAATAAACCTAGTGAGTAAGTGTGTTAATATAGGCTGCATGTTTCTCTCGGCTTGTGTTTACAAGCGAGATAGACTGTGCTTCCAAGTTTTGTGTTAATTTTGAATATAATTACTTCGACCACTTGGGCACGGAATTCTAACCGGATAAAAATAAAGACGAATATAACAGTTTATCATCCTGGTACCTGTTATGTTAATTGGGGCTTAATCCTTCTGCCATTAATCAAATTTAACAATTAGATGTTAACTCCTGTGATTTAATTAACCTCTCAATTATGTAACTTGGTACTGGAGTCAGTCTTCCAACCCGGTACCCTGGTTTTAAAGCCAAATATACTCGGCTGTAGAACCCAGTGTTTATATAAACATTTCTCCGTTGCATAACTCAGAAATATGGGCAATTTCTTATCTATATAACCCGTTGAACTCCGGCATCCCGTGACCAAGTGGAATCCAGAATATAGTCTAATCTTGTTGCTACTGCTGGATGGTAATTAAGTTTTTTTATATCCCTGTTGTGTCATATATATATAAACAAATACTTTATTTAACCAAGTGTAGTGGAGGTTCCTAGGGTTAGGTCTTTCTCATTATTTCATCCCCACGAGAAAACTCAGGATCAGTACCTAACTGAGGACGTAATGTAAGAGTTCTGTACTGTACTCGTTATGTCTTTTTAGAGAAGTGATGACTTGTATGAGACATGAGGGCCGCTGCGCTGTGTAAGGTATTGATAACACCTCCAGCGTCGACCCCGTAGCTTTTTGGGGCCATGTCGAAAGCTCCTCAGTCATGTCTAATGCTCCTGGGTCATATCTAATGCCCCTGGGTCATGTTTAATACTGCTGGGTCATGTCTAATGCTCCTGGGTCATATCTAATGCTCCTGGGTCATGTTTAATGCTCCTGGGTCATGTCTAATGCTCCTGGGTCGTGTCTAATGCTCCTGGGTCATATCGAATGCTCTAATGCCTACCATAATGCTCTTGACTTCAGATATGCTTTCAGCTTTAGTTCATATCACAAAAGAGTTGAGGTGTTGTCATCTAGTTTGGGATAATTTACAAAGCATGTAAGATCATATCCAACATCCCTTGGTCATGTCTGAAGTACCTGGTTCTTGTCTGAAGTTGTTGAGTCATGTCAGCACCTCCAGTTCAATTTTTTTAGGTTATTTTTATATATCCTTTGATCATGTCTGAGGTATAAAAATTCGTGACTCATGTTTACAGTCCTAGGATTATTTCTGGAGTTATAGGGTCATGTCTGATTTTTTGGTTCATGTCCCTAGCGCTTGAGTTATGTCTGAATCTCTAGAAGTCATGGTGGAATCTCAAGAGGTCATGTTTGAATCTCAAGAGGTCATGTCTGAATCTCGAGGGGTCAGGTCTGATTTGCTGTCATCTCAAGCGTTAACATACACCAAGATCCACAAGTGACAATTTTTAAAGTGTAAACCTGGATTTTAAGATCAGGCTTTTAGAACATCCTCCAAATGAGTTCAAAACCTTGTGTTAGCCAGGCAGGAGAGGACTATCCCAGGAGAGAGTAAGCACTGGACATGTTGAGTTTCTTTTAAGATTTACCAAGCATGAGATGCAACTAGACTATCAAGGTTAAATTTCCCCTGCTAGTTTGTCAAGATTATATTGTAGTGATATTTCCCAAGCTTGAGGGGGGAAGTGTAATGACTCAGGAGGAGGAGCTGGATGACATGTGCCCACCACCACCACCGCCACCACAACCAGTCCACCTGCCTTCACCACAGCACCCAGATGGGCTGGCGTGTTTTCATCTGCCATTCGAATTCCATTTTCTATAACATATGCCATTAAATACTATTTGTACGACATTACCATTTTGACAATAAAATGATGAAAGAATATGTGTATGTGCTTATCCTCTTAGTGTACATAAAACAACCAGGAGTTTGTCACAGGAAGAGAATACCTTTTATATATATTTTTCCGGTTTGTATTGCCTTCTTAGTCAGTTCTCTTTACCCTTGAACAGCTGACTATCACTAGTACGTTTACGAGTAATTCATTTTCAAGTTTTCCGAGTGTAGCGGCTATAAATCTAGTTTAAGTTCTGGGAAGAAATTTCAGTGTCGAAGTCAGGAAATTTGAATCTTCAGCTCCAGATATAGACAAAATATTTTAGGAACTCCTTTCTTGGGCTAGGTTTTAATAATATGGAGTGTTAAACTAAGTTCCCATTCCATCACTTTGATGCCAAGGTAAAGAATAAAATGTGGCATTTCTTGTGTTTGATACCATTAAATATTTTGGGACAAAGATTTGTTTATATCCGATGTTGTCCAGGTTTTACTGCAACTAATGTTTTGATTCGGTAAAATATGATAGAATATTTATGATTTAAATAACATGGTTCCATATTTACATAATCCACAAACATGA